ATCCGGGCCTCAAGTCGCACAATCGCCGTGTGTCTTGGTGGTGAGGCAGCGTTCACAGATGGGGCGGTCACTTCATGAACCTGATCGGCGAGCTCCACCAGTTGGTCGAGGCTTAGGTCACTGGCCACTGCGGGGACGAGGTGGATCGGCTGAAGAAGGCGTTGGAGGAAGAGCTCGCCAAGCACCGCTAAGCGAGTTGAGGCGTCATGCTCCACAAGAAGTTGTCCCACTCGGCGCAGTAGTTGGGAGGGACGCCTGTCACCAAGATACCCCTCACCGAAGAGTTGCTGCAGGCGGACACGTTCAGATGGCACGAATTGCTCCAGTTCCTTTTACTTAAGGTGCTGATATGCCATCATGTCTGAGGGGTTGGAGAAGATGTCGGAAAGCTCACTGGCAACATCAGGAGGGTGAACTGAGGTGGCGTGGCAGTATCGTGTCTTTTCCGAGGCGATGCGGTACAGCGAAAACAGCGCCTCGACCAAGTGAAACCAAACTTGCGGGTTCTGCGGCCAGAAAGACGGGATACGCAATTACACCGCCGAGACGTCCTGCAGGGCAGACACCCGATTGCATATGAGCATATGATCACGTAGGAATTACAGTGTCAAAGACAAACCTGTATCAGCTGGCTCATTGCACTTACAAATCCTCTCACACAAACGCCAGCAGAAAAGTAATTCTGGGGCTTCATCTATCCAACAAACGCTGGCTGCAGGCAGGTTACAAAAAGTGCCGTAGGGAAAAGATTGAACGCGGAAGCTTCTGTACAGTGTAAAACGGCGTTATTTGTATGCATGTCCTCATTGTAGGTGCTGATGTGTTATGGGAGTAATTCGCACGATGTTATTATGCTACCTGTTTGCGTTATGCTCATTGTTTTTAGTTATATTTTTGTGTATCTTTGCATACCAACTACTCTCTTGGCGCCATTACTGCTGCAGTATGTGTAAATAAATAAATAGAGAAATGAAAAATTGGCAGATCCCACATACAGTGGGAATCGATGATGTGCGAAGCACGATTGAGAAAGGTTGATATGTCACTTTGAAATCAGCACCATGTTACGAATACATGAGTTATGTCTCATAAATATCATGTTTAGATGTGTCGTTTACCTTGGTCATCTATTCACGTCACATGGTACCAAATTTATTGTAAGTGGAGATAGCGAAATGCCCGTGAGCAAGGATGGATGGAAAGTCCTTTATTGAAAAAAGGGAGGCACAGGACCTCTGTGGGGATAAGCAGGACTTTCTAACTACCCTACTAGTTCACAGTGTCACGGGTTTTACACTTGTTGAGTTCACCATCACTGGTTCTGAGGCGGTATAGGGTCAGTACTGTGGTTTGTTGGACCCCCTAAACTACTCTGATCAGGCCGCTCTGACTTCCATAATGGGCAAATAATAACTGCGTGTCCAGGTCCGTAAGGAGCGCTTCACGATAATTTGTGGTTTGCAAAGCTTGTATGGCCATTCGCCCTTTTTCAAATGCGGAACACTGCCACAGTAAGCGGTGAAGGTCTGCACGCAACGCAGCCCGCAGTGATTGCACGTCGCTGTCGCAATGTCCGGTTGTCGCCATTTCGCTAAAGAGTATGGTGTGTATGCAGAATTTGCGTATACCTTATTAATGAAGACTTCTTGGGAGCGTGAAAGCTTACATTTGCTGGAAAATAGGACTGGTGGGGTAACCTGCGCAATGGGTTTTTGACTAGCATGACGCAGGGACGTGCGTACGTAGTGCATTGTGGCTACCGAGGGAGCCATTTGACACAAGAGCTCATACGGGTTCACCCTGATGGGTGGGGGCACAGAAAGATTGGTCGACCCACCTGCGGAAACAACAGCGGCGTGCGCCGCCGTATTGCCCCCGGGCACACCCGTATGCCCCGGCGTCCACATAATTTCTATTGGCCTATCGGCTTTTTCATGCCTACGAATGATGCTTTGAATAGCAGCAGCTGTAACATCCTCGGACGCTGGGCGAAATATTTCCGAGTAGGCAGCGTGCGAGTCGGTAAAGACAAGAAGGGGTTTCTGTATAGTGTATGGGAGGCTTGCAGTCACACCCCATATGGCAAGTAGTTCGGTATGCATAGGGCTACCGTTAGGTAGATGGCACCTGTAGGCCCCAGTGTACTCGGTGGTCTGCGCGCAGATCCATGCTATAAAAGCTTCGTCATCGGCAATGGCAGCGTCCGTGTATATGTCGATGGTATCTAAGCTCGCTTCCCTTAGTTTTTGCGTGGTAAAAAACTGGGGGCCGTATTATTGTGACGAGATATGGGGTGACGGAACAGTCGAGAGGCTATTGGAGTTTCCCTTAGGGGTAAGGACTGATTAAAAAGAGGTGCATCATCATGCCGCTGACAATCCCAGGCCAGAAGGCGACGACCTTGTGGTGTGTTTTCCAGGCGGATGTGGTGTCGAGTGTGGGTTTCACGGATGACGTCTTGCAGAGGGGGCAAGCCCCCTGCGCTTTCAAGGGCGGATATCTTACTGTGTTTAGTGAGCCCCGTGACGGTACGGAGAGTAGACCGATGAAGGCGTTCCAAATTTAGGATGTCTGTTGGAGAGAACGTGTATATGGGTGCACTGTACAAAATCTTTCCAGCAGCGGTAGCTCTTGCTAGAGTGCGACGGGCTTGTTGTCGTGCACCTCCGTATTTGTTGGACAGACGACGTATCATATGTAAGGTGGCTGGCCATGCCTGCCGCAGTCCACGTCCACAGACTTTTGTGGGCTGCTGCAACTGGCTATTGGTGAACCTAAAAGTTTGATTTCTGCGTTTTGTGATTGTATAGTGTGTGATCCAATATGGAGTGAGATACACATTTTCGGGTTGGTGCGATTCTTGCCGTCTATGCTCATAAGTTTTGTATTATGTGGAGCCAGCTGCAGGCCTACTTCCTTAAAAGTGGACTTTAAACTAAGGAGGGCTGCCTGCAGCTCAGTCTGCATTGATTCTTTGTCAGAATAATCCACTGCCTCTGTCCATATAGTAATATCATCGGCGTAGATGGCGAATCTAGCCATGATGTCCCGTTCAAGGTTTTCTGCTACCCAGCTCCTGGCCAGATTAAACAGCGTCGGTACTAAAATAAATCCCTATGGAACACCTCTGTCCAAGTAGTAAGTCTTCGGGCTTCATCATGGTGACGCACCGCTTAAGCGAATGGGCCGAGGGGCAAGAAAATTTTGAATCCATGTCTGAGCACGCTGACTTGGGTAGCGCTTAGCTAGTTCTTCAAAAATAGCGTTATGGTTAACATTATCGAACGCTTTCTGCATGTCCACGGCCAGCGAGTAGTAAGGTAACATCTTCCTTGAAGTACGATTGACAACGCGCCGTAGCAGCCAAAGACAGTCATGGGTGCCGAGGTTAAGGCGAAACCCCGCCTGGGCTGGATGGTATCCCGGCCGGGTTATAAGACATGTGTGTGTGAATCATGCGTTCAATGAGCTTACATAAAGTAGACGTTGATATTGGCCGGAGGTTTTTGCAGAGGGTCTTCTCTTTTCCATGTTCCAGAATAGGATAAATGAGAGACAGCTTAAGGTTCTCCGGAACATTTCCTGAGGCCAAGAGGTCATTGATTACCGCCAAAAGTGCGTCCTGGGCTTCATCTCCGAGGTTGCGGAGTTCTTGCCATGTGATTTGATCGTGGCCAGGCGCCGATCGGGGACGCCCGTGTTTGATGGCTGCAAGCATTTCTCCCATGCTAAATGGGCGAACAAGATCCGGATCGGGTTGCGTTATGGTGCAGGCTTTCGGAGATGTAGGCAGAGTGAGTGAAGCGTGAGGAAAGAAAGTGGTAATAACTTCGTCTTCCACAACGGACGGATCTTCTTTGAAGAACAGCTCGGCCAGAAGAGAGTTGCCATTTCCTTTCCCGCTGAGGCTACGAAAATGCGCCATAGACCTTGGAGGCCCGACGCACGGCCAAGGCGTTCGCAAATGGATTGCCAGGCTTCACTTTGAAGTTGGAGTTGATATTCATCAATAAGCTTCAATTGGCACTTGATTTTCATGAGGTCGGAGTGTCGTTTGCCGTGCGAGTGGTATCTTCTGATACCACTCGCAATGAGTTTTGACTGTTGTTTTTCATAAATTGCCTAAATGGTTATTCATCGGCTGAGTATGGCGCGAGCAAGGTATGAGCATGGTATGTTGTCGTGTTCTTACTTGACACGCGTGTCAAGATAATCATGTTTGCACCAGTCATATGCTTCCATCCAGTCGCATGCTTCCATCCATTCGTGCTTCTGTTCATTTCTTTGTCCATGCGTCAGTCCATTCGCGCATTTGTCCATGCGTCCAGCCATCATGTATTGACGTCACATAACACCGGATTTGATATATAGAGAGCTAGCAAAACGCCCCGAGCGCTGCATGAATGGCCCAATATAGTCAATGTAGCGTTGACGCGCACACGCTGGGAACAGCGACGCTACGTCAGCAAAACGCGAGCACTCTATAGTCTGACGCCAGGCACGACCAATGCGACCAGCGTTCGTTGGCGCGGCCCGACAGTAACCGGCGCGAAATGCGACATGCTGTATTTCGTGCCGATGTGTTTCGATGCCGATTTCGTGCCGATGACGCAGAAACGCTGGACGTGCTGAGAGGCGCATGCGTCAAAGCAACGCAGCTCGGCGCGTGCCTGCGAGTATATGGCAGTTCCGTCAGGGGGGTGAAACTTCGCGGTTTTTCTGTCCCGTGACCGCAGCGATCCTAACGTTTGGGGGCTGTACTACCTAAATGAACGTTCTTGTTCTATTTTATAGTTATTACTAGGTTACTCATTAACTCCGGAGTTTTTACTACACAAGTGAACCTAAAGGTTGCAGTTCGAGATTACGAAAATAAGAGCGCCACCCGAAGTGGAAAACGGGAACTGCACAGTCGTCCTATCTCTCACGGCGAAAAAGGGGCGTTTCTTTTCGCGCGCCCATGTATGCTACAGCCTGCGGTGTCCCAAAGGCCGCTTTTACCGCTGTGAAGTTTGTTTTAGCGAAACCCCTGCAAGATTCAGCCAAACAGACGCATCCATGGATTCTCGCCGTCATCACAAATCGTGCTGCGCTGAGTGGTGTCGGAATTCTTCACGACACACCGGCATAAAATTCTTTCGGATCCCGGCGGACGAAAGGTACGATCTGCATGCTGCTCGTTTTGTTTTTCTACGCTTGCATGGCATATCAGGATGCGGTTGCTGCAGTAGCTGTGTAATTGAATTGAGCTACACGTACATGATTTATTCATTACATTCTGATTGTCTGCTTTTCGGCTTCAATTATACATGACATGCACGGCAGAGCATCTGGAAGTTATTCCAGCGAATACATTTGCTACGCATGATTGTTTATACTTGCGTTTTCAATTTAATGCGTTTCGGTCGTGCATTGCATTTCGATGTTGCACTTTGGCTCAAGGCAATGCAAGGCATGTCACAAATGTATTTGTAGCAGCATATACAGTAACTAATAGAACAGTGTAAGCTTATCCGCGCTCTTTTTATTATCTTTTGATTGCCTGCGTTCAGTCTGTTCTCGTTGCATGCGTTATTATTATTCTTGAATATTATCAGCCTATTTATGTCCATAGCTGGAGGAAGGCGATTCCCATAATCTTTTGGCTATAAGGGAGGGTCCATATACAATCATAGCATGTGTTGTTATTACTATGTTAATTAAGTACTGAGTACATAAATTATTACACTCGCGAGTTTAGACGGATGTTATTACATTATTGCGTTTCAATTGTGTGTTTTCATTTTGGCCTCACGTAAATCCACGGCATATTGCAGAGGAATTTAGCAATAAATTTATAAAGTAATAATTTATAATGTATACTTCAATTTCATGTTTTCAGTTTCAGCCTTAAGTACAATTACGATATATTTACAAGAATGCAATTGCAGCTAAAAGCCCATAAATAATTGGACACTGTAAACTTACGTGTTCTACTAATTAATTACCGGTTTTAATAAGGTTTTTATGAAAGATTTGCAGCAGGGCGCGAGAAATACCCGAGGAATACGCAGTGCGCGAGGGTATATATGTACGAATAGTTGTTTATAGATTTTGGTGTGGGATGATTGCTATTGTCTGCAAAAATATATTTTGAATTAAGAGGAAAGCTGGGGTCGTTGTCACCAAACATTACTATCGCGCAAGTAGAAGCATGTATCCGCGTCTTTTAATAATAAAGACAGATTTTATTGTAAAGTTTGCTTTCAGGATTGCTATCACAAGTCGTCTTGGTTACAAAACTTCAATTGAGAAAGGAAGATGAGAAATGTATAAAATAACGCTTACTTCGAATAAAGATGCCAGTTTTCACTCAAAGCTATCCATCTACGCCTGAAAACAGAAATAAATTCATTCTAACCCAAATACTACACACGCACACACTGATTTTCCAGATCTCGCGCTTGGCTTCAGTATGCGAGACGGCAGGACCTGGCTCATTTACCACCTCGTCAGATCTACAGCAGCTACCGTTTGTCCTCTGCCCATTTCACCAGCAGAGACTACGCAGACCCTGGACAGACAAGGCTGCTAAGATGTGCTGTGCCAACAGTTTCCATCTTTGGCGATGGTCAGACACACGTCGAAAGTCCAGGTGGGAATACTGTAAAGTGATCATACAACAGCACAAACTTTCATGCCTCTACATCTATTTACAGAAATGTCTTAATACTCAATATGTGTACCTGTCCGAGTTATCATGACTCAGTATTTTTAAGATTCTCGCGCAGATTACACCAACAATACCAACGCATGGTGTACACAGCATCCAGGGATTCGCCGGCATGATTTTGCTGGTAGATATAACTAGCTAAGTAAAAATTTGCCGGCTTCACAATCGTTAAATTTAGAGCAAACGTCTCACTCAGAACGCTCTACATGTAACCTCCTCGATTCTGATTCAGTTGTCTCTGCTATTTTACCCGTGGCGTAGCGTTTTACAGGAAAAGGCGAAAATGACCTCATAATTCGAGAGAGTACTCCAAGTGGCGCGTTATCAGCTATTTCGCACATGGCGAGTGAGTAGCGGCCAACTTGGTGTCGCAGTTAAAACAATTGCGCGATAGCTTTGACAGTGGGAGCAACAGAACTGGCCTTTTAGAAATATATATATATTCTACGACACCCTAGTTCAAAGTCGCTTTTAAAATTAAGAATCCAAAAGGTACTTTATTTTTATTAGCTTTATTATTACAAAATTACTTTTATTTTCAATGGGCTAAATATGTGTAATTGGCAAGAATTCGGTTACGCGCTAGGTCATCACGATCACCACGATGTTAACCTGTTCTAGGCACATCGCATTAAGATTTTTGAAATATTGGTTTAGGATAGTTGGGACACCCATATATTTAGAGAGTGACACGTAGCGTTCTCTTTTTCTGTGTTTACACTTTTTTTATTACTCGTACTGAGACATAATACGCGAGGAGACCAATTAATAGTGAGAAAACGCCCTGAGTGATTGTAATTGCAAATATTTAATGTGATGCCTAATACCAGCTGTATGTATGTCACGCTGAAATCTGTGCTCCGCCAATTTCTCTTCACAGGCTCTCCTCGGCCCGCGAATACCACTGCAATGCCCGCTCACAGCGCCGATGAAGAAGTTCAAAAGACTGAGCCCTCATGTACGCAAATTGTATTGCTCTCTAAGCTCTTTAAAACTATTCCAGATAAATTAATGCCCTGCAGCTATCGTTTTAATGTCACGTACCATTTAACAGATCCTAAAGTGCACTAGGGTGTCAGCTGGGCGAGCTAGTTTATTGCTAGGAGACGAGAACCAGAGCGATGTATACCGAAAGGCAGGACGACACGAGTGCTTGTCCGATCCCTTTCTTGCTTGTTTGTTGCCTCCTAAGAGGGATTAGTGCCCCGCCGCGGTGGTCTAGTAGTTATGGCGCTCGACTGCTGGCCCGCAGGTCGCGGGATCGAATCCCGGCCGCAGCGGCTGCATTTTCGATGGAGGCGAAACTGTTTGAGGCCCGTGTGCTTAGATTTAGGTGCACGTTAAAGAACCCCAGGTGGTCGAAATTTCTGGAGCCCTTCACTACGGCGTCCCTCATAATCATATCGTGGTTTTGGAACGTTAAACCCCAGATATTATTATTATTATTATAAGAGGGATTAGTGTTTTTTAAAGAAGACTATGAATTCATTGTTTTTTTCCTAAACATACCATTTTAAACGTATAACCATTAATGTTTGTTAACAAGGAGTATGCCAATGATTAGGAAAAATTAGTTGACGCTTCATGTTGCCCACGATGCTTATACATGCCATTAGTAGGCTCAATGCCCAGCAGTGTGCTTATCAGAGGCCTGTTCCCAATGCCCCAAGTTTGAATAAGTGAAGGATCGAGAACTAAATATGACCAACTGATTACTCATGGAAGTAATCACTTCAATTCTAAAAGCCGCTAGAACTTTTACTAGGTTTAAAGATCATGGTCAGCTTTCACAAAAACACAGTATAACTGAGATTTTTTTCTAAATCTTTCAGGTTCCAATCCAGCGGGTCGACAACACAAGCATTCTAGGTGCTCGCCCCGACAGCCAGAAAAATGAAGAACCTGGAGAAGATAAATTCGAGGCTTCGGAAGGCACTGTCAAAAATTGGCAAGAGAAAGGTTAAAAAGCTTTCCCAGTCCGAGGCGTTGAATGCTATCAGGCCCTACGTCCGCAAGACATTCTTTAGATTGCTTGAGAGTCAAGTTAAAATTAATGGCGTGAAACGTAGAGGACGGAGGTGGTCACCCGAGCACCACCAGTTCGCTTTAAACTTATACTTTCATGGTCCGAAAGCATACAGACATCTGTCAAGACTGCTTGACATGCCAACTGTGAGGTCGCTAAAGCAGTGGTTATCAAATATTCCGATGACTCCCGGAGTTATTCCAACCGCTATTGAAGCCGTCGAAGAAGCTACCCGAAATAGGCATTTAACAGATCGTGCGTTTAACAGATCGTGCGACCAACCGTCGATATGCTTCCTGATGAGGAACAGCCGTTAGCTATGATATAGTAGAGGATAACGTTCTGTACTATGTTGGGGGATATCTCGTACGGCACATTAATATTTGACGAAATGTCCTTGAAGGAACATCTGCAGTATGGTGCAAAGCATGACATTGTGATGGGATTCTCCGATGACGGTAGGCAAAGAACACCAGCCGTGGCTAATTCAGCGCTCCTGACACTTGTGGCAGGCATTTCAAAAACGTGGATTCAGCCTGTTGCTTACACAGTATCAAGGACAAAACGCCCGCAGATACTCTTCATCATCTGATCATAACATTAATCAAGCAGCTGCAGGGAGCCCGGTTGTCTGTGAAGGCGCTCATCTGCGACCAGGGGGGAAGCAACATCACTTTGGCAAGTAAGCTAGGTGTGACGCCTGAAGAGCCGTTTTTTGTGCTTGAAGGCCACAAGATTTATTTCCTATATGACACACCACACTTACTTAAATGCAAAAGGAATAATCTCCGCGCACCTCACAAGCTCCATATCGGGCAAGAAATTGTGGATTGGTCTTTCATGACGCAACTATACGAAAGCTCGCATCCTCTCAAACTCAAATTGGCGAAGAAACTAACCGACAACCACATTTACCGGAAGCCTTTCAATAACATGAAAGTTAAATATGCCAGCCAGGTGATGAGCGAATCGGTCTCAGTGGCCATTGATGTATTCATTGCTCTTGGCGTGTTGCCGGCATCCGCCAAACCAACAGCTGATTTTCTCGAGAAGATAGATTAGTTATTCGACTGTCTGAATAGCTCTTCTAGGCTAGGTGTTCGGAAGGGTCCGAACACCTAGCCTTTTTGCGGGAGTGCCTGTCGTTGGTCTAAAGGTGGAAATTTGACGGGCCTCGGTATCCACACACAGTTGAGGCATGGAAGGTAACCTTAAAGGCTATCCTTCTCCTCTGGGACGACCTCTTTCAAGATTTTGATTATTCGTGTTCTCTTGACTTCCTGGCTACAGCAGGACCCCCTGGAGAACCTTTTCGGGCTTCTTAGGTTAAAGCATGGCTGCAATGACAACCCAAATGTGCTTCAGTTCACATCAGGTCTGAAACACATTTCTGTTGGTAAACTGGTTGCCCTTTTTTCGGAAGGAAACTGTGAACAGGATCGCAGCACTGTGTTGGCACAAATGTCAGAGCCACCTCATTCGCTTCCTACTACTTGTGATGCAGCACCAACAGTCGATATGCTTCCTGATGAGGAACAGCCCGTTAGCCATGATATAGTAGAGGATAACGTTCTCTACTATGTTGGGGGCTATCTCGTACGGCAAGTTTTGTTGCACAGGCCTCCACACTGTGTGTGCAACACCCTTTTGAAGAATGCCGACCGCCAGCTTTGTGCATCACACCAGTATTTTACTATGTTTAAGGCAAGCAACATCTCCTCAGATTTATTTGGCAATGTAACAATGCCTTCTGACGATTGCTTTCAGGATATTAACGCCATGGAAGCTTGCTTTTTGGAATATATCGGTGTTGTGGCGCACCTGCCTAATGTGAGTGGAGTTTTGGCAGGCATTTTGCACAGTTGTATGGGAAGGCAAAAATTCTGCTCTGAAGAATGCAAGAAAGCCTTTGTGCACCTCTTTGCAAGGATTCGCCTGTTGTGGCATATTCGCTTCGTGAACATCTCCTTGGCTAAACAACGCACCAGAAAATCTGCTGCAGCACGAAAAATGCGGAAGTTTTTGTAACTTTTAGGGTTCTGTTTGCATATTTGAGGTCTTGAAAAACTGAGCGCTCAGAAAACACGGACGACAAAAAGACACACATATGCGCAAAAGTAGGCGCTACTTCCATATTTTTGAGTCACCGCTACTTCTATAGCTGAGGTCACCATTTTCTGCCTCTGAAGCGGACATGTGTGTGTACTATTTATCTGCTTGTATTTCGTTTTTGTTTTTTTCATTAAGCGATATAGGTATGTTACGCTGAAGAATGCATAAACCCTTCGTGTTATTTTATGAGAACACTCTATAGTGGCTTCAGTATTTTGTAAATTTTTGCTTAAGCTTTTATAAAGAAACCTCATGCTGAATAGAAAATGTAGCAATGTCTAACTCCGGTACGTTAGGGTTTTTGTATCATTTCCTCTTGCATCCTAAGTGTGCGGTGTGCCGTATTATCTTGTCTTACTCATGGGATGATTTTATATCGGGATACGTGCTGTGAACTTGTGCATAGTTATTACTGTTTTTCGTTTGTCTTTGTATATACGTATGTGCGGCAATGTGCACTGGATTGATACTAGGTTATTAGCATGCTGGCATGTGCGGTCCACTTTTGTATGCGACCAAAAACGTAAAACATTCAAGTTGTATTTGTACTGCGCAAACCGTACGTTTAGCCAATAAAACATTCAAACAAACTCTGCTCTTTATTCTTGTCTAATTTATGTGTACACGTAAACAAAAACAACGTCTTACTTAGAATAAGTAATGCACAAATAGGTGGATGGGCAGACCATCAATCAGAACGCAATGATGGCCGTTTTCATCATGTGGCGGGTTGCGCAACAGGAAGAAGGTCGCGTGCTCGCCGTCTGAATACCTTCCACTTGCTCAATTTGGCTTGCTGGTGCATCCCAATTGAATTTGGCGCTAAATCCCCCCCCCCCCTCGCCACTCGGATCCTCAGTCCTCATCAAGATGGCGTCCCCCAGTGCATGTCTGCAATGCGCCGCCATGTTTTCGTACCACCCCCAAACACCAGGCGTTCGTCCGGTGCTGCGAGCGAATATTGCGTTCCATGGAGGGTATAGGAAGTTTCACTCCCCTGGTTCCGTCGCCTGGCGTGGCAGCGCCGCCGTGCCGCAACGAAATGAACGCTGGCGAGCACACGCACCGCGTCACGCCGGAAATGTACTGGCGTTTTCACTGAGGCATGTAGTCATGTTCTCACATGACAGCACCTCATGATTATCATGTTTGCGCCAGTCACATACCTTTGTCATCCATGGACATCACGTAATACCAAATTTTGCATATGTGAAGCTAGCGAAACGACCACGAGCACATCGTCAATGTGGCATGTAGGGATGTTGTTACTTCACAACATCACTATCGTGATTATCATGTTTGCATGTGTCATTTACCTATATCGTCCGTTTGCGTCACGTAATACCAGTTTTGGTACATGTGACGGTAGCGAAACATCCGCTAACGCATCAAGAGCGTGGCATGTTGTTACATGACACGCATCTCATATTTATCATGTTTTCACCAGTATCATATCTTTGTCATCCATTCCCATCCCGTAACACCGAATCTATTATAAGTGAAGCTAGCGAAACGACCGCCAGCGCATCATGAGCGTGGCACGTAGTGATGTTGTAACAAGACACCCATCTCATGATTAGCATGTTTGCACCAGTCACATACCCTCGTCATTCATTCATGTACCGTATTACCAAATCCGGTATATATGACGCTAGCGAAACGACCGCGAGTGCATCATGAGCGTGGCGTGTAGTCATGTTGTTATATGAGACGCAATTCATGATTTTCATGTCAGGGTCTGTCGCTTGTGTTCGCCATGCAATTATGTCGTACCATAACAATTTTGCAACATGCGATGTGAACGAAACCAACGCAATCGCTGCAGCACCATGGCATGTACATCATAACATTCATGACATCCATAACATGATTTTTATATTGTCACTAGTTAAATATATTCTTCACACAGTCATGTTATGCCATATCAAGTTTGGTGTTGATACCATTATCGAAACAGCCAGGAGTGCTAGAAGTCGTAGGCGGCTAAATCGATAGATAGATACGCTCAAAGTTGCCGAAGTACGCTAAGAAATGCTTCGGATTTAACAGCTGGCTTGACGTGAATACCGTGTGACAGAAAAAGAGCAAGCGCTAGTGAACCTAACGCTAGGTGAAGACAGGTTCAAACGAAGCATCATCACAGCAGCGGCAGCGTCTCCGTAATTTTGCGCATCATCATGGTCATTATCATCTACATATTATTGTGCTATTTCGGGCAGTATAGAATGCGAACACGCTGTGGAGGTTCCCAACGAATTCTTTTTAAGCAAATAAAAGAGGTGTAGCACCCTTGTTTGGGCGGCGCGCACCCGCAAACGAAAAAATAAAGTGCCGCCATATCCGCGAAGGTAATGATGATGAGTAGGGTGAAGCCCCGGAGGTAAACGTGGTAGATCATGAATGTTCCATAGTGCTTGCCCACTCGATTTTATTACAATGCTCCCTCTAGCGTACGTCGCCACACCAAATCGAACGATTGCCTTCCACCAATGACACGCACCACACGTGACATCATTCCTATTTTATAACATCTTGCATCTTTCATCATCAACTACAAGTGCCGTCGTCTAGCTTATAACATCTTGCATCTTTTCATGGATGAATGGATGGATGGATACGGCTGTACCCCTTAGATCGGGTGGTGGCTAACGCATACAAGCCGTATTACTTAGTGAACCAAAAACTAGATTTACTTTTTTTTAATAGTGAGGTTGAGGACACGTACTTTGCAGTGAAAGGCTTACTTTTCACTCATGCCTTGACTTAAGCCACCAGTCAGATAA